ATAAATAAAAATAAAAAATTGCATTAATCACCAAAAAGTTTTAGCATTTAAGTAATAAGGAAGCAATTTAATAATGCAAATGGCAAAAATCATTTCTTTTATTTCAATCATTTAAAATTTTCACATTCAAAAAAACACGATTTATTCTAGTCTATGTCTAGCCAATTTAGAACTGGTGTCAAACGATAAATTTAAATTAAATTAACTAAAATTGTACTTGAAACGTAAAATAGTACGAAAAATCCATAAATTTTAGAACTTCTAGAAAATTCAAAAGAATTGTAAAGTAATCGTATTAATATAAAATAACCCTTAATTGTAATAAAAAAGCAAAGACCCACATATATTAAGTTCAATATGGGTGTATATTAACTTAGCCAGTTTAGCGGAAATTTCATGAAATGATTGTCGAGATTATCGGGGTATGACATTGTATTATACATTTCGCGCATTGTACGAACTTAGAGAAAAAAAGGCAAATACTTCGGAAATAATTTCCAAGCTGTGAAAGAATAAAGCGAAAAATAAAATGTCACACAAAATTTTACCTAGATTACCAACCCAGCATTTAGCGGCTTCGAAGTCTGGTGTGTGTATGACGAACTCCTTGGTTTTGGGGTCGTAAGTGGATGTGGTGCGCATGAGTTTAGCGTCAGAGCCATGCGCAATCTCCGTAAGTGCGAAACTTGCTACATACTAAAAAATAAACTGTGCGTTTAATGTTAATGCTAATTGTTTAATATTTTTTTCTTATAAATATCTCCTAGATTGATATATATAATCCTCTTAAGCCTAGTGAAGGTCACAGAATAGTGTATATTATATATAGGGTATTTAAATATAAGTTTTTGTCAGGATTATCTATTCATTATCTATAATATATTGGCAGCCGATACATTATTTTCTTTATAAATATTACAAACAGCAACATAATCCTGGGACATAGGCCACTAACATGGCACATGTTTATTGATCATTTAGAGCAGGGGTCTCTAAACTTTCCAGCCTTAGGGCCATACTGATTACTCCAGTAAGTTCCGAGGGCCAAAACCATATGTCATTATGCTTGTTATAAGTTATGTTTTTATCACAAAAACAATAACAATAAGCCTACAACAATGTTATGAGTAGTTAGCCCATGACCATATCAAAGTAGATGTCATATTAATAATTATTCAACATAAAATTAGAATACTTCAGGAAAATAAATTTAATTTGCTAAATATTTAAAAAATATGTTCTCTAAAAGGAGTATGCTAGCTCTCCGCGGGCCGGACAAAATCTTCCGTGGGCCAGATGTGGCCCTCGTGCCGTAGTTCTCCACCCTGATTTAGAGCCTTATTTGACTAAACTAGATCGACTTTTGGATCAAATCGATAAACATCTCAGCCAAGGTTCGAGCAGGAGAGTCACGCTTATCCACTAGGAAAGCACTGCATCAAAATTCTCTTTACTAAACTTCACTTCTGTTTTAGTGCAAAGAACAGCTAAGTTATTTTTACACACGCATACGTGACATAGTGCACGATAATAAAAACAATATTAGTAAAATGCATGCATTTTCCTGGTGTTTTGTATTCTTACGTATGCAATTGAACAGAAAATCCAATAGGACAACAATTTTACCCTATGTTAATCGAATAAGGAAATTGGGGAGGAAGGAATTAAGTACGGATTTACTGCGAAAATCCTACTTGCCACAAGTTGTTTTTGCCTCAATCGATATGACTAAGGTTTGGTATTACTTATTTTATTTAAAAACAATTAGTTGCATTACATATTTGATACATACATATTCAGATAACATAAGTTAACGGGCTTCCTTATCGCTAACTAGCGATCTCTATTAGGCAAGCGTAGTAAGGAAAAAGAAAATAAGAAATACTAAGGGTAAATTGCAAAAAGTATATAACTAAATTTAAAAAATAAAATTACAGATATATACAATTACAAAATTATAATAAAATAAAAGAAACTAAAAGCTAATCTAAGGAATTATGAATGACGCTGCTAGAAAAATACATAAAATTAATATATTTACAATTACAAAAAATAAAAATTCTATAGTTACAAAAGTCTCGATTAAACAAATGGAAAGGTGAAGAGGAGTTTATAAAAAAGACTTTTAAAAGACGTTAGAGGGGTAGCTTATCGTATGGTATCAGGGAGCGTATTCAATAAATTTATAGCGGAGAACTTAAAAGACTTGCCTATGAAGGATAAGCTGTAATAAGGAATTTCTAAAATTCATCTATCAGAGGAGGATTATTATAATGGTTCTTACATTCAATATACCATAAGATTCGGTACCATGAATATGTTTTACTTTGTTTGAAACGAAATAAACGAAAATAGATCTGCCCCATGGTAATTTACACAAACAGGAATGATTTGAAATTATATATATTTTTACTAGCAGACTCGGCCAAGCTTTGCTGTGGCTAAAGTTTTTGTTATATAAAATAGTAGTAAACTATTCAAGGGAAACGGTAGGAGAACACCAGTCATGGGGACCATGCTTTTTTGTTGGTTATGCCATTAAATTGTAGCTTATGAGAAACGTTGGTAGTTTCAACACAGCGTGTTAGAAATGTGTTAGAATTGTGACTGTCAAATAATAAACAAATAATTTGCAATAAAATAATATTACGGGTATAAATGAAGATGTACGCTATCCTATCTTTTAAGTTAGTTCAAACTGCACATGGTATGCAAATTTGATTGAAATCGGTTAAGTAGTATAGCAGTCCATAGCGGACAAACAACGTGACTCGTAATTTATATATATTAAGATTGTTGAGCACTAGTTATTATTAACACATATAACTAATTGGACTGGAATGGGGCTAGTGAAAATGTATAATAATAAAGTCCTTATTTGTTAATTAAGTACTGCAATTATTTCTCATTGTCATACAAGGTTATAGACATAAACCTGATAGTCTGTTATATAGATTACTGTTAAATTAATAGAAGTTTGGACTAGAATTGTCGTCCAAATTGCCCAATAAAAATGTATGGTAATAAAATACATATTCTTTAATTACTGCTTAGAGACTTCTAATGGTCACACATAGTTTTAGTATTGTAAACCTTATTGTGTATGTTATAACAGATTCGATTTCTGTGGTATCAAAAATACATTGCTGCTAAAATACATTCAGGCTCCAATTTATTTGTTAAAATTAATAGTTTTGTGTCATAATCATAATATTTAATACCTTTCTATCCTTTATAGTGGCTTCATAAAATTGTCGGTGTCGTTCAGTACCGAGGGATAAAATTGCATTTGAGAACAAATAAATACCAATTGCCATCTTTACTGAAACACTAGGTGCTAGTGACTGTACAGCCTCATTTATTGTCATTAGTGTCCGTGTCTGAAAAGAAAATCCTATTAATATTAAAAAGTACAAATAGTTCAGAGAATTGTGTTTTTTTTAACTATTTTTAAGTACATATCCTATGCTAATTATATCTTTAGTATTAATAACCTTACCCTTTTCATGTAGCCAGCATTAAATATTTCATCAGTTAAGAACTTGTACTGATTGATCTTCTGCAGTTGCATTTGGGTAATTCTCTTCTGCTCTTCAACAGGTGGTGTGACTATGTTGTGTGCAAAAAGAGGATCGTTTTCTAATGTATGCCATATTTTGTACTGTTTACATGAAAAAATAGAAATATAATTATTTAAATTAGTGTCTTTTTAATTTGTATGTAGACTGTGTAGTAATTCTCGAAAGATATATAATGTTCATACAAAAAATCAAAACATGGTTAAAAAAAACCATGAATTTAGAGCTGTAAGCTCAGAGACCATCTTTCCACAAGCTAAATTATTATTTTTATATTATTATTAGATTTACTTGTTAGAAATAAATAGTCTTCTAACAATGCTAGTTACTAAAATTAAAATATAAGTAAACAAACTAAAAGATAGGAGGTTTGCATGTCAATAAATAGGTGAAGTATGCATTGTCACGCCTGTGTGGATAAGAAAGTTTATTGCTAATGTTGGTCTGTAATCAATACATATAACATTGAACTGTGTCATTAGTCATAAAGTTCATGTATTTAATAAATTTACTTTTTTTCATATCGGAAATGCACAATCGCTCATTACCTACTAGTTAATATTGTTTTCATCTAATTATTAGTTAATTCATTACTATACAGAATAAATACAGCTTAGATAGACAAAATTACAAAATCATTTCATTACAAAGAAACTAAATCCACCTCTATGCCCCATGCATGAATATGACAGCCCTAAGTTTATCTCCTAACATAACATTTGATTGTTTTAGGTTAAAAAGCCTCACTATTTGCTTGAGACATATTTCTATGCTCCATGTGACAATTATGGAGCATACTACAGCACTAAAAGCACTGATATTAGCTTTAAGATTTAAAGCTTTTAGTTTAAGATCTTCTGAACATTTTTTTATCGATCAAAATTGATAAAAAGACTATTTTATTTAATATGTAAAAAATATAAACTAGTTCAATGTGAAGTCGAACACCAAGGTTAACAGGCCTGTTGTTATAGTTCAATTCTTCCAAAATCTAATGTTACATCACGTTAAGTAATTTAAATAGATTTGCCAAATACTGACATAGTATCATAGTATAGAGTACTTTAATATTACTGACTTAGTGCCAATCATTAAATTATTTGAACTAACAAATAATCAGCTTTCAGCTAAATTAAATGCATTTGTTATTATTATATATCTATTTAAAAAAAAATTTAAAAAATTACTTTTAAACCCATTATTATTCTCCTAACAAAATGAGAATAACTAATATCAAAAGATTAGAAATTAAAAGCATTTGCTATATGCTTTGATAAAATTATAAATGGTTACCTTAAGTCTTAATAACTGGATATCTCCTTCAAGAGCCAACTTTAATCGTTTCCAGTCGAATGATGAAGTATCTCTATAAACATCCAATGGCCCATTTAGCAAGTTAGGAATGAAACTTAAATCTTCCATTGCAATCTAAAATGTATAAGAAATATTACATTATTATCTTTTATAAAGTGGTATATTATAATTTACATTTTAACATTAATAATTATAATAATAAATAAATTACAATAATATATATTATTAAATATAAAGTTAATTAATATTTCTAGAAATTTACCTTGAATTTAAAGAGAATTTTATTAACAAATTATTACGCTACACTTCCTGCCTCGATGTCGCCAATAAGTAGACTGGTCAGTGGTCACTGGTCAGTGGTCACTAGTTTAATGTGGCGAGGAAACGCCTTATTAGCTTAATATATTGAATTGGTTCTCTAAGTTATCACTAGACGAGTGATTTTATGAGGAAATAAAAGCGTATTTAAGGAACTTCACCGTAGAGTCGCGCCGCTGCATACACAGCGTAGAATACTGGACAACCGATAAAGCGCAGAGCGCTCTATAATAACCGGCCCCGCCGGTTATCTTAAGCTACCAATAGCAATGGTGAATAGCGATACCAATCCTGCAGACTTCACTTATTCACTATTGAGTATTGAGATTTGAGGCTTTGTACCACGTGATCCCAATTTTATGGAAAGGGTAGAAATTTCAATAGGTTTGTTAAAGGTCTACCGGAATCTCATGGCGAATAGGGAAATAAAAAATTATTGTGGGCAATACTGGAGAAATTGGACTAAATGATCTTGATACTATTTAATTTTTATTTATGTCTTGAGTATTAATGAACATGAAGTATATCAGTTACTGGTATGAAGAATGCTATTATCCATGGGGTTCCTAAGACAGGAAAATATGTCATGAAAAATAAATAAATGGTAAATTACTTTATGAAATAATTTATTATATATGATTTCAAAGATACAAATAACTTAAAAACTTATTATTATATCTTGCTTGATGAAATGGTTTTCACTTTTCTTTAAATGTTCACAACTGCAGTTTCGCCAATCCTCTGCATCAATTATTTATGAGAAAGCTTCCTCTGTTAATAATTTTATGTCACTTGTAGGTCTATTTACATTTTTATCAGCAACTGTTTGCTTCATTTTTCCTTAAATCGTTTCTATGGGATTAAATGAGCAATGATAAGGTGGGAGTTTTAAAACTTCATGACCGTGCAATCTTATAACTTCATCTATCTCATATAAGACATGTTTTTAAAGTTAGGTATACTTCTTTAGGCGCGTTATGAAAAATTGATGAGTGAAATTTTACGATGCGCGCGTACGGTGACACAAAATTAACAGAATGAAGTTGCCCACGGAAGATGCTACGGCATTGGACATAATTTAATAACAACATTCGAATAATAATAGAATTTATGTTACACTTAAACATTTATTTATTTAATTTTTCAAATGTAAACTGAACTTTATTGACTATAATGACTACTTTTTCAGTCTTTGATTATTTAATTGTAATTAATTATTTGCATGCAATCAAAAACTATTTTTAATAATGCCAAAGAAGTATAACTTCATACGCGCGTACATAAGTACACGCACCCTTTTTTTCACTACTTCAAGTAGTTGACATTTACGGCAATAATCATCATAATGCATTTGTACGGATTTCTTTTATATCAGTGATACGATTGGCCTGTGTAGGCGGTCATACGTAATTAATTATAACTAGCAACAATTAATGAAGGACTTGTTAGATTTAGCATTAGCTTCACTGTCACCCGTTTTGTAAAATTGTCTTTATTCATATTATGGTCGTAGTCAGCAGACACACTTGTTGACCCGTACACCAGACAACAATTTGGTACAAAGCCATTTTCTTCACCAGCGTTTACAATGATCCACCTCACTCCAAGTGAAATACCTGAAATCTGAAAGACTTTGCTTTGTCAGCACTCATTCACAGAACAAAAACACTGAATGTAAGTCTAATAAATAATAATATTTAACATGTTGCTCAAACGATAGCTTAGTCAATCGTCATCTATATACATCCCACTGCAGGGCATAGACCGCCTTTAACGAGGAGAGTGAGAGGGATTATTATTTATAATTTTTGTTCACATAAGAGAATCTCTTTTTCCGTTGCATTCAATATCTTGTCGAAGAATTTGTAACAGTGTCATTACTATTGGAATTTCCTTCAGAACTGTATAGAATTCCTTTGCTTAATTCCCAATCAACTGTCCATGTTCATTTCCTTCTGTCCCCCTCTCCTCATTTTACCAGGCGTGGAAAACACATCATCATTCGATGTGCTCTCAGCTACGATTCCCCGTATAGTATTACTGGAAACCTTTATAAGTTACAATTATGTACCGAAAAAATATAAAATAAACTATAAGTATCAAAACCACTCAGTCCAACTTAAGAATCAACTCTACCACGCGCTTTAACATTAAAGATTGAGTTTGATTTAAACCTTCTTTTTCCTTTATTTTACGATGAACATTGAAAACAATATTTCTCATTTGAGATCGAAGTAGCTTTTTCGACATGTTCACAAAAACAACAAATTTCAAGAAGATAATCACAAAATCTCATCAGCAGTTGCCATGAGATTCCGGTAGACCTATAACTATTTCGTTAATTGACGTCATAATTGTTGGTTCTCTATAAATTCGATAGATGAAGTTATCCCCACTTGGATAATCCCCACTAGATGTACTGGAAAAATAGAGGTGGGACCGATACCCAGCACAAGGTGCCGACAAGCTGAAACGACAACTGGGATAATGAACCCTAGTCTTAATCCTATTGAAATCGAAATCTTGCTTCACATCTCTTGGTTAGTATATACTGTGGGATTAGGTTTTTAGCTCAAAATCAAGACTATAGATTAGTAATAAAAATTACTCAAGTGAGAGTTGTCAAAATATGTCAAGAGCTATCATTTTTTTACATGTCAGTGATAACAAACCTTTTTGGCCGGACACATTTTTCAATTTCAAAACGAGTCTGAACATCTGAGTCTATACATACATTTTATTTGTTAGTGAATTTATTCATAAAACAATATTTTTTTAAAATAAAACGTAGCATTTTTTTTATTGCCCACAACTAAGTCAAGTTTGTCCCTTTTTCGGTGAAGAACTTTTGTAGTAGCAACACTTATGAAATGTCAAAATTCTGCGGAATTAAAAATCAGATCAGAGTATAGCTATAGCATTACCTAACTTGTCAGTTGTCACAATATGTCGGCGTTCTTACAAACAACATCAAATTTTTGATTTATTACCTACTTGACGAAGTAAATACTAAATAGATATTAACATACTACTACAGTACATTAGTACATTACAAACGTGTACTTCTTGTAAGGTTTTACGAACGTCATGTATCTCTCATCTACTCAGAAGGTTGACGCTTAAAAGGTTTAATTTTTTTGTTTGTACCTACGTTTTATACTATTCATAGTATTAGATAGTTAACCAAATATTGTTTTCTTATTTCGCCGAATAGATTTTAGCTGGCTTGAAATCGCTCTGGTTATCAGGAGACAGATGATCAATATATTTTATGGTTAAAATTTTTTTTTCTTTAAATAAACTTCAAATACCATTCATTTTGGTATTCGCACCTGAATCTTATTCTCATCCATTACGACTTAATTGCAGCAACGTCCGTAACTAGCAAGACTGCTGAATATAAGATTCAGCAAGTGAGTTATACGACACTAACCTTATTTTAAATGAATTAGAATAGTGATATTGGCCAAAAACTGTTTGTTGCACACGTGATCTATTTCCTTATGCCTATTGTCAGGAAAGCGCCATCTGTACGATTATAGTGAAACCCGTAACGAAACTTAACCGTTAAGCTGGTCAGTTTGCTTGATAGGTTGTCGCTAGATGTGCTCATGCTCAATAGAGGGCGGGAGAGGCTTGTTTGGCATTACATTGAGTGAGTGCGATACTCTTATGCCTATCACGCTACATCTGAGCGAGAGGTAGATATTATTTCGCAAACATAGAAACAACACACACATTTATGCACCTGTAAGCAACGTCACGTAATAAGAAAAGAGAAGTTGTAAAACAACAACTCGGTTCGCTGCTTGCTCGTACTTTTCTATCAGATGTAAAATGGTCGAGTTGTCGCGTTCATGTGCGCTCACTAACTCTGCGTGTTCTATATTAAATCGATGTTTATTTTGACGTAAAAACAAATTTTGTTTACGCGATTGTTTGACTTCATTGGTAGCCGGGTACTTATGAAAATAGTGTTGTGTATATGTTTTATCTAAACGGTCACACTCACTTCTTGCAGTGATTTTGCTGATAGTTCACTCGTCGGTTTGTGCGCGTGATAAACTACGTGTTCGGTTTTAAAAAGGCCGTCTAGTGTGTGTTATAGCACCATGCTGTGTACTGTGACATAGTGAACGTTGAAATAGGCCCTGACCTCTGACAATCATGTCTGGGCGATCGGATTGTAGAAAATTCGCGCCAAACATCTTCAACAAGAGTAAATGCACCAATTGTTTCCGGCAGAAGGAGGAACATAGTGCTGAAGCATTGGAATCTAATCGGGTACAAACAACTTTTTTAATATTTCCGACATCAATCAATGTTTCTTAAATTACAGTACAATCGCCGTAATCGAGGTGCGCTTGTATTTGTGAATTGCTACAGATTTATCTGTGTGGGTACGCTGACCACTTCTCAGGTGTTGATCTAACGGAGTATGAGTTGTGTAGTAAAACCTAATAATTGGAGGTATTTATTTAATATTATCGCAGCTATGCTGGAGCCCATGACTAATTTCATTTTTTTTATATTTATAATGATTGCTGTATCGCCTATCGCTCCAAGATAAAATCTGGCGAAGCAAAATATATTTGCTAATTCGTTCTTGTCCCTTATCAGTTTCTAGAAGGCTACACATTACCTTTAGTAAATAATGAGTAACTAATATTATTAGTTTGGAAGTCATAAAAATTTGAATGTATAATCAATACCTGTTGTTTTTTATCAACAAGTTTCAATAAAATTGCAATTACATAAAACTAGAAGAAAAATACTTACGTTACGTTTTA